TTGGATTTTAAGAAAAGCTATTAGACTGCAGCTTCCAGCTCTTTTCATTCGGCTCCATATGGACTGAAAATTGTTGCCCTTGGGTCAGGTGAATAATAACACACAAGGGAAATGGATCTGTCCCTGCACTCATCAATAGCATCAGTGTTGTTTCTGATACGTGCCAGATTGGACTAAAGTCTAAAGAAATGAGAAAGTGAATGCAAGCGGAGAAAACAAGTCAATACAAATGATGAGCAAGAGAACTTGGAACCACTCTCCGATGTATTTTTTCTCCTCTGCCTGTTAGCTGCTATTTTGGCACCATTAGATTTGTGATTTACTCGAGTAAGACGACGTTTTGTCAATAACACCCTTAGGGAGAAACTGAACTATGGCAGCGCATTCGATAATAAAAGTATAGTTTCATTGTTTGTATTGGCTTCACCCTTAATCCTGCTTTGAAGATGCTTTGCTGGTGTGGTAAGAAATCTCTAAAAAGGCACAAAGCTTCCTGACCCCCCAAGTCTTCAATGCAATGGAAATAGAAGCGGGACAACAGCAACAAACAGCACAAGACCAATTCTAACTCAGAGTTTAAAAGGATTAGTTCAACCATATCACACACAAAAACATTTCCCAAAGAGAAGTTTAGTGGGATTTTGAAATATCTCTAGCTGGCAAATCTGCTGCTCTGAAGATAAAAGGAATTTTACTGCAATAAAAAAAAAAAAAATAGCTGCGGATCTGCAGACCTCGCCGCCATAGTATCAGATGCAACCATGTTGTTTGTGAGTTTGTCTGGGCTGACCCTTAAATGCTATCAAGTGGATGCTGGTGAGTGCAGAAGGAGCGATGAGTTTGCCATGCTAGCTTGTCTGATAACCTGCTGTGGAAGTGTGCATGCCCATGTAATCAGTCCCAGCCTTAATCTGATTTGATTAGTGTGTCCTCCTGGATGAGGAGACGAGATGCGCCCTGCTGGCTCCGGCCCTCGGGCTGCTGTCTCGCTCTCTGCATGAAGTCTCCAAGAACTCGTAATGAGGCCAGCCAAGTCCTTTTTCTCTTGCTTGTCGCAGATGAGCGTGCGTGGAAAAATAAACACAGACAGCACTCTTGCGTACACAAACACCGAAGCACAGAGTGCACCTTATATAATAAAAACAGATATGGATTTGTGGTATATAGAAATAAAATCCCCACTGATCTGCAGCTGAGGATGCATTCAGAATATATTGATCGATATAGCTGTAAAACAAGCAAATAATACAAGTGCCTCAGTATGAAACACTGTAATGCAATGCATTGGTCTTCACAGAAATGTTGCATAGCATTAGTTCTGACACATCAGAGCAATTGCTGATGCCCTTCTGATGGCATGCTACGCGAACTGCTTTACCGTTAGTGCAACCCACACCCACCCAAGCACCTACAGTTCATAACCTTTTAACTTAGTCAGTGTCAAACCCATAGCCACTAACATCTGCTCTGCTGCTGCCTGCCCTGTGTAGACATGGAAGAATGGGAATGTGTGCTCTTGCCTCCTTAAGCTCCCCAAGTACATGTGTGGAAGGGCGGGGAGGTCCTAGAACAGAGACATACCACCAACTTCTGTTACTGCAGATAAAGTAGCAATCCCACTTTTGACTCAAGTGATCCTGACACAACACCAGGCCCCTTTTACTTCAGTAGCCTAAATGATACAGTTACTGTCAGTATTTTAATCTGATTCTCTCATTTAGCTGACTGTAATTTTCTATACAACCAAATTTGGATTTAGCTCATATTCATTCCTCATCTGTTGCACCTCAGGAAGACATGATTAGTAAATCACCTGCCCTCTGGCACTGGAAAGTGGAATGTTTGATTTCTTGAACATGGAAAATAGAAAAGACTGAACTAACCCAGTTAAAATCTATACAGGGAGACATATTACAAGGTGGGCATGCACAAAATCCGAGCCCATCGAGTTGCCACCATTATGAATATTTGGGACTGTAGGACGGCGTGAGGTTTGTCAGTGTTAAGCTTTGATATGTGAACCGTATGTCACACTTAACATGAACTGATTTTAAGTTTAGGGTTTTGGTATTCCTCTAATGAGTAGCTACTAGATATTCACAAAGAACATCAGGTCTACTGAGTAATCCACTCTACCAGACTGGCTGTTCTCACATACACAGCAGGAATGGAGCCATTTAACTGTGACAGTTCAAATAACTGCACGCTGCGCGTGAGTGAGAGACACTGTGACTGAAACGAAGGCTAGGTGGGAGGCAAGAGGTAGAATATTTTCTTCCTCGCTTAAGAGAGTGAGAGACAGATGCTGTTAGGCACTGACTTACATTTCTAATGAGCACAGGGCATCAGTATCCATTAGTGTGAGAACAATCTTCGCCTAAAGACGGAGCTCGGTGGAGGTTCCTGGGCCGGGTAGCAGATAGAGCCGTCAAGCAGGAAATGGTGTCACACACTAAGGGAGTAGGGAGCCGCTATGACCTGCGTGTTGGGAAATAAACATCCTGTGACACAGCCAGGCATGTAATGGGAAACCCAAGCACCAAAACCAGGGATGTATACACAAAAGGCAAACTGAGATTAAATATTGAGTTTAAAAACAAAAGCTGGTGCTTAGTAGTTCACGAGTTTCACTGATGTTTTTTTTTTTCATAAATCTTTTAAGGATTTTCCAGTGACTGCTCTGAAAGTAGCAATATTATAAGTTTGAGATTCATGTAATGTGTCACTAACAAAAGTTGAACTATTTAGCTGTGAAATATAATATAAACTTTGAAAATTGCATTTTCTGCCGACTTCCACACAGAACTCTATTTCAAAGTAAAAGGGCAGATTCATAAAGATGAAATATTGCTTTACTAAAGGCGACATTCTCTGTGAGAGAAATGCCTGCTCTGAAAGTGGCACAACATAAAATGCCACATTTGTGGTTGCTTTGAATGGAGCTGTAACAGCTTCTGGACAGACGGAGATGAACCTGCGGTCTCTGCAGGAGGTCTGTGAGGTGGGATGGTGGAGAAACTATTACTCACCAAGACAATTCTCACCCACCTGAATGCAAGGTGTGTGCTGTTTATGATTTACTGTTCAGATGCTGAACGTTTTTATTTAGCTTGCATTATTTGGTTATTTTTAGCTGAGTTTTTATCCTTAGTCAAGATGATCCTACAATGCTTCACTAACAATGGGGAGACCAATCCATGACTGATATATTTCCATTCTGTTTTTATCCAAATTTGCTTTTACTGCATTGCCAGAGTGATTCTTATGTTAAAAAACAAAGCAGGTATTTTAGAGCTGGTACTGAATGGCGGATCTAAATCTGATGGTACTTTTCTGTGTCCATTCCATCAGTTTTGACAGAATCAGCAACACTATTGGCTGACATACAGCTGTGTACTTATTGACCATGATTTGAACCAAAAAATACAAGTGCCACTGATTTACAGTCCAGTTGTTCTATAATTTGGCATATCTCAGCCTTTTCCTCCCGTTTTCCTTCCTTAAGAATGATTCCTTGACAGCCACCTTTCCATTGAGACCATTTCAGGTTGGGGCCTCAGTGAACCGCTGATGGATCAACTGAAGGGACAGATGCATCTCTTGGGTCCTGTGTCAGGGCTTTTCCCTATTTCTTAAGGACACGACTTTCAGATTCTATTCATATGCCCCAGATATTTTTTTTAAGACCTGACAGTTCTTCTTTTGTCCTTGACTTGTTCAGTTTCCTCACATTTTAAAGGACTCACTGCACACCATGGCAGGAGATCCCAAGTTTGTAGCTAATTGTGCAAAAATACAATTTTATGCATGATCTTTGGTTAGACTCAACTAAAGAAATGGGGAAAAAATATTCTACTTCTAATAAAATGCATAGAGAAATTTAGTCTTAAATATGTTCTTTGTTAACTCATTCACTGCCAGCCATGAGTCAATGGGTTTAACTCATTCACTGCAATTGACGGCTATAGACGTCAATGGCAGTGAATGAGTTAAGTTGTCTGTGTCGACACAACACTGGTTGAGTTAGGTGCTTTTTTCTAATGCTTGAGTGATAAGTTACAATAAAACGGCTTCAAAAACAAACCAAAACATCACTTTCAAAATTTTCAGGTACAAGGACTGCATTGAAAAGGAGTGAAAAAGTCGACAATGACCAAAGAAGGTCTTTAAACGTTTGCTCAAGACCACTTTAAAGAATTGCTAGACAGTCTGACAAAAATCGTGAAAAGTTCGGTGGCGTTTGAAGTGAAGGACTCGATCTATACTGCCGAAAGCTTGTCATGGTCAACGAAAGGTTCGTAAAGATATCAAGATGTGAGTCTGACTGTTTTTGGAAACTGAGGATTTAACCAAGACATCTGCAGACTGAGATGCACTGGAGAAAAAACCTGGTTAACTCAAGAACCAAGAAAAGGACTGAGGTGAACAGACTGGAAAACACCCACTTAACTTAGTTGCAATATGTCTGGTCCAGACAAGTTGGTTTGGCGAAATCTTGTATCACATATCAAGAGCCCAGAAGAACCCTGGTGCTGGATCTGGGTTTATCAAGCAAACTTTAAAGTTTAAAGCCAAGAATAATTTAGGACCATATTGTGATACTTCATCAAAGTCTGGTAACTTCTCTTAAAATGGTTTTGCGTTAGTGTAGCTGTTTGACACTGATGATCTTAAAGTCTGTGTCCAGATGCAGACTGACACAAAACTCCTTCATATGCCTGTGAATTGAATGATTTGGTCAGATAATATCGAAGTGCTTTCATTTGTGTTATAGTTAATCTTGTTTTATCTGTTCCATTAAAAACAGATTGCCTCCAGGACCGTTACCTATTAATTATAGCGATGTGTCTTTCATTGTTAAAAGGATTCGGCCTGAGTGACAAATCAGAATAAATGTCTCAGTACAGAGTGAAATTACTATTACTGCTTTTCATCACGAGTCATGTCTTGGACCCTTGCGGTTGTGCTTTGTGAATGAAGAGAGGCACAGTGTAGAGTGGTTACAGTTCTTAAACCTTTAATGTAAACAGCAGTTTTGAGGGGCTTTGAAAAAAATCCTAAAGAAAAAAACAAAACAATCTGAAGGCATTAAATAGGAAGGGGGAGGGGGGAATATATAAATCATACTTAGAAATAACAACCACGATCTGCTTTTAAATTAAAAAAATACATAAACTCTCAATTTTGTGGCCATATGGTCCTGAACATACACAAAAAATGTCAACTTCCCTTGATCAAATACTAACTTACATTTTGCAATACTAACTACCCGGCACGTTCACAATTTTTGTTCTTTTTCGTTTTTCTAAAGCAAAATCACTAAATCGTAGTCATTTTACAAATGATAAACGAAACAAAAGAAAAAAAAGCTAAAATATTGCTTAGGAATGTTGTGTACAGCAGTCTTTACAACGAGAGACCCAAACGAGCGGGAGACAAGTGTGTGTTTGAGCGCGTGTTGCACAATGGTGGCGCTTTTACAGTTGTTCTATGGCAAAGCCACTGTGTAGGTGTGTACAATAAGCAATAAGCAGTGGTGGGATAATTACATTTATATTTCAAAAAGAGGCTTTTTACTGTGGTACAGTGCCTGGATTTCAAGGATTGACTTTTTCTAACAGTCTCTATTACATGTGAAGCAGGGCAGAGTAGACAGACGACACTAGTTTTTCTCTTTCTGTTTTTAAAAAGTATTCATCTTAAAAGGTAATTCAGCCTCTTGGGAAACACTTAGCTGCCACAATTGTCCTACTGTAAGTGGGAATGTGACAGGAAATACTACTGGGAAGTTGACGCCCCCCTCCCCGTTGACGCCCAATCGTCCTTCCCTGCTCTTGAATCCCACAACCACCATCTTGATCCCTATAGCCTTCACCCCCTAGTGACAAAAGCCCTGAGGAACAATAATAACATGAACATAAAGGAAGGACAATCCAATGGAATTTCTAAGCTTTTTTTGTCCACAATATTCTTGAAGCAAAATGACAGTAAGCGCCGCAGCCAAGAAGAAGAAAAGGGTGAATGTCTTCAAACACCAGACACTGGAGGAGAGTGAAGAAGGAGGAGGAGGAGGAGGAGACGTGGGACGACCAACGACAGGCCAAACAAACACTTCCTGGTTTCTCTTCTCCATGGCAACGTGATGACTCTGCATCGACCCCCAAGTCCCTCAAGTGCAAACAGTTATCGTTAATACGCACCATTTTCTCCCTTATAAACATCTAGCAAGAAGCAAGAGGAAAATAGTTCAAGAAATCCTTTTTTTTCTTTCAATCACAGTTCATTTTTTTATATTATATGTTTTTTTTTATTTATTCTTGTTCCAGTTTATAAGAAAAGGGGACCGGTCCAGTGAATACAGTGGGTTTGGGGTTTGTTTCGGGTTCGGGCTTGTGGGGTCGTACACCTAGTTACAGTCGTAAACGAAGTCATAGTTGCTAGGCTCTTTGGGAATCGGGGGCGGGGCCTCTGGAATCTGGATGTTCTCTAGATCCAAGAGGCGAAGCTTCATCTCCATAGAGAGCAGGGTGTCCATGTCAGATTTGGTGTATTCGCTGGTCATCTCCTTACCCAGGAGGGCATTCAGACCATCTGTCCACACACAATACTGCGGAGAGACGGGCAGAGGCACGTTAATTAGAATATTCATAAGAATGGTTAAAAAAAAAGGTACGGCACAAAGAACAAAACCTCTAAAATCTACTCTGCGAAACAGAGAAAACACCTTAAAAAAAAAGGCAAAAAGTTTCTACATTCCTCAGCGAAAGCTTTCAGGCATTACACCTTTGTTTACAGTGAGTTATATTTGGCCCCAATCTATAAAAAACCACCAACATTGCAATTCTATTTGCCACATTCCCCAAGGACTATCAGATATTTATAAGTAGAGCTGTCTTAAAGCCTTTTGGGGCAAACTAAAATGAAGTCAGGCAAACTGGGTCGAGTCATTGTTAAGTCAGAAGTCCAAATAAAGTTCATTCCGAGCCAACGGCAAACAGGCTGGTGCACTATGAACGCTCATCATTTCATATGCAACGTTTAAACAGTTCTAGTTATGCTTTACACGTCAGAAAACATGTTTTTTTCACTTTACCTGCACAAGCTTTATACTTGTTTTTCGATGAAATTATATCTGTCCATAAAGGCATCTTTCCACTATTTAAGTGTCAGCTCTATACCTGCATAAACCATGCATTGGATCTCTATGCGTAATCCCACACGTTCATTCTGTGTGACACTGTCAACAACTGCAGGGTCAGCTTACCTCATGCTTGTCAGGAGCGATAAAATTTAAGTATTCGTCCGACTCGTAGAGGACAGAGAAGGCCAGCTCTAACACCTCCTGCAGAGAGGACAGAGTGAAAAGCAGAGGGAGAATATGAGGCGGAGAAAATGGTGCAAAGACCGAGTGAGAGTGGAGGAGGTGGGACGGAGAGAGAGGTAGAAGCAAAAAAGAAAAGAAGAAGAAATACCAGGTGAGATTTACAGTACAATGCTGCCATACTAGCGCGATGCTGCTCTCCTCCACGTCCCATCACCATCTGTTATATCAGCTGCACATTAACTCATCCGGTACCGGTGAGATATATGTAGGGATCTTTTTATATTAGCTACTGTAAAATAACAGTAGGGGCTGGGGATCGGGGACAAAAAAGACAAATTCACTTCAGTCTCTTTTATGAAATTAACTGGACGGAGAAGGAGGACAGTGTAGTGACAGAGCCAGATTTGTAGATGTATGCAAGTAATTTATCTGTGTGAAATTAGCCTCTGGTTTTACGAAGCCAGTAGGGGATTACTCAGTCAGAGGCTGAGCCTGGAGCCGAGGAGAGCTTAAAAGAATCTGTGGTCAGATTTGACTCAGAGAGGGAAAGAAAAACAAAGTAGTGCTGAGAGTAATTCTATCTACTCTGTGCAGCCGGTTTAAGCTGCACACTCACACAGTGAGCATCTAAAAGGGCAGTCATTACTATATTTACCCTCTTGATTCAGTAAAGAACCTGTTATAATTACTTAACTCAAAGAACAGCTGATGGAGTGACTGGTTGTTGGATACTGTAGATCAAGTTATTCCTGAGGATGTCCGTGCATTTCATGAAACAGTTGTTGAGCGTTTCAGCGGTAAGCAGGAAATGAGTGTTAAATGAACAACATTGTTAGTTTTTCCAGGTTTATGACCTCAAAGCTAATTCCTCTCTTTTTTGGTGCAATTAAAAGACAGATCGTGTTCATTTGTTACCGCTCTGCTTTTCTTTTTATGAACTTATTAAGTGCATGCACCTTTTACTGGTGCTGCAGCAGTCTTTTTGGTAATGGGTTAATTTAATTTCCTCTTTCCCACAATATATATTTTTTTAAATAATAAATGTGCACTTGCTTTTTAGATGATGATGATTTTTCCCCCCCACATAAACTGGTCCCATTATAAATCGCTGGAACATTGTGGAAATACAGCAAAGCATGCAATCATTCACACTTGTCATATATCCTCCAATCATTTGTGTGATGCTGTAACGTAACATATCTGGAGGAATTTGGGAGATAATATGGAAACACTTCACACTTCTCTATTCTTCCAGTGTCCCACAAACGGTGCACTGCCTGCTCTGCTCTCAAGTCTGTAGAGGTGACTTTGGCTGGTCTTCTAACAGTGAGTAATGAAATGTGCTTATGTTCTCATTCACAAGGCTGGGACAGGCCTGCTAGACAGCCCACAGACCCCCCTCAGGTCATTCTCCTAGACCTGCGCTTATCGACAAGGCAATAAAAGAGACAAAGCAGAGAGGAGGCGTGCTCCTTTGTCTTCAAGGCTATTTATCCAAGATCCAATATATCGGAGTCCCGTGGGTGGGGGCCGAGGGTTTGCAGAGGAAAAGTACGAACGAGGAAGAGCTGATGTGTACACAGATGCAGACATGATGGCTCTTTCACCCTGGTTGAGGCACCGCAGAGGGCGCGCCCAAACGTTACTATCACACCTTCACAGCGAAGAAAAGATGCCAGCACGTTTTTAGCGCCTCTGGCGTAATTGTCGTCTGTAACTAACGGACTATTCGGTGACTTATTTCTACGCGAGGCCTCTGACGGAGACGCCTCTGTGCAGAGCGCTGAGACGCAAGTTATTGTGTTATTTCCTAAAGCGAAATTATGTAACCGACGTCCTCGTTATGCAACTCTCGCATACACAGGAACTCATTCTCTCGCCTGGATACACACCCACCCGCCCACACACATGCACATGTGCACGTGCATGTGTGTGCGCACACTCACACACAAACACATACCTTGTTTTGCTTCAGGGCTCCCTTTTCCTTCATGTGAGGACAGTCTTTGCCAGTGATAACAGCTTTGATATCAGCCACAGGCACTGCAGAGAGGACAGAAGTGAGTTTACAACAACGACAACAACAACAACATCATCATCATCCTCTTGACAACTGTGCTATTCCATATGGGTTCTTGTTTTTTGTTTTTTTTCCTTTTTCCTTCAAGTGATTAAAACTTTAAATTTTCCCCAAATCTGTCACTGTGCAAGGCCCACAAGAAAAACTGATGTTAACACTGTCTGTAAAAAGCCAACTGTTAGTGTCGGTGACTGCTGCTCGTCTCTGAATTCAGCAAGACACACATTTTTGCAGGAAATCAACATAAAATACTGATAAATATTTTCCTCTGCAAGTCATTGGGAAAGCAGTTAAATAGAAATTGTGCTAAAATACTGTAAAAAAACAAACAAACTATTAAAGGTTTTACTCACGTTTGTCCTGTAAAGAGTCATGGGGCACCTCGCCCTGAGGGCTCTCTTCCAGATCTCCGTAGTGCAGGACTTTATGATTCGGAGACAGACGGCAGTACCAAAACTTATCTAGAACAAATGATGAGAAAGACAGGAAGACAGAAGGGAGTAAGAAGCAGATTTAGAGGTGTTATGAAATAAGCAGTAGCTGGCAAAGGCATCACACGGGTATGGATTTGCATGACTCATCAACAGCAGAGAAAATTAGCATGGCAAAAAATATGTGTCAAAAAATAAAACAGCCTTGAGGAAAATCCACAGATGGGCAACGATGATCTCCACTAAGGGAGGGAGGGAGGGATCTGGAGGGGAAACAACAAAACTGGCGGCCTTCTTCACCGAACAATGACTCAACAGCAGAAAACACGGTCGATTCAAGATCACAAAAGGACATCCAGGTTTCTTTAACTCTCACTCAAAAGGCTCAAAAGAGCATGAACCCTTAATTGTGACCTGATTAAACGAAGTGTATATCGGGTCCTTGGCAGAGACATGGGATCCAAGCTACTTTTCTGTGAAGACTGTGGAAATGAGGTAAAAAATGACAGTCTTTTAATATCAAAAGCTAAGGTTCTCTCTAAAAGGCAATCAAAGCTCACATCCAACATTACAAAGGCTGTCAAAGATAAAGCATCAATTATATCAGCTATATACGACAGCAAAATATTATCTGATTTTTTTTTTTAAAAAAGTGGCCTAAAATTAGGTGAGCAAAAAAATTTACTGTGCATAGGTTGTCACATCATTGTAACCGTTAAGAGGACCCTTCAAGTCAAAATCGTGTTGGTGTGTTTTTCTCGTGGACGCTCTCCTGAGCAATCCCCCAGCAGCTTCAGCACCAGTTGTGTCTGTACACACTGCTGGTTATTGTCTCCATCAGCAGCCTCTGCCTCCAGCCTGGTGTTTGTCGGCCGTTTCCTGGCAAGGTGGGGCATCGAGCTGAGCTGGCAGAAAGAGTGCACAGACTGGGGAGTTCGGCTCGGTGCGTGCACAGTCCAAATCCTAATTGTTGAAAATAGACAGTCGGTGCTGCCAGGCCATTGGTTCGAGTGGAACTGGTCCACAGGGAGCTGAGAAGAGATCTGCGCAGTGGCTGTGAGGGGATGGGAGGCTCTCAAACTGCTCATCTTAACTGATAGGGTGTGTCTGTGCAGCAGTGCATGCTCGTCTTCTTGCTGTCTTTGATGTTAGACTTATCTCTCGTATCACTTGTAACATTCACAAAGTCAGCAACCAGAACATTGGCGAGCGATAACGTTTAACAGAATTAGGTCAAATTTTAAAGTTTACTTTTGCATTTACACAAAGTGCCTGCAGTATCCTGCACTTAAGACGGCACACATAGCACTCTTTCCAACTTTAAAGTGCCATCAAGCTGACCTTTTAAAAAGTGTTTTCCTGTAATGGGCAGCATGGGGAGTAGAGAGAGGATTCAAATGCACTGAAGTCAGCTTAATTAATATTTTATGTCAGAACGAGAGTCTTTGAAATAATCACACAAGAAGCCGTGGAGTGCTGAGGACTGCGTGAGGGGACAGTAAGAGCCCATCTAACTTACTGCATGTATAAAATAAACACTTCCAGCATACAGAGACTTAATAAAATAATAACTGGGAAATCTGTCTAAGAAAAGCACCAAAGATAAAGGAAAATTTTGACTAGGTAAGCATGATCGCCTCGTAGTGGCATTGCTTTCTTAAGCTTTGCAAGAAGAGGAGCTTCTCACTTTTCAATGCATGAATTTGCTGTCAGTACCGGCACGAGAACAAAGCCTTAGAGATTTAGATAGAGTGGGAAAACAGATAGGAGCAACATGTATTAATGAAGGAAGAAGTAAATAAAGAATGCATAAATTCACACGTGCAGAGGAAGGATACAAAGCAAGCCACAGAGAGACGCTGATGAATGGGGGTGCAGGAGTGTTGTGGATAAACGGCAATCTCCTCAGAGTCCTCAGAGGCGATATCAGCTACAGCTAGCTTGTAGCAGGCAGATGACTTGGCTATAGTTAGCGCGCTGTTGCAGCAGATTAAAGCCGGTGGAACCCCACAGGCTGGTGTCAGATCCAGCAGGGCTCCAAAATAGCTTTACATACACTCGTGTTCTAAAAGGGTCCAGCGTGCTTTCTTTTTGTGTAGGATCCACATAGGCTGCGTGTTCCCAGTTCCACTGAGAAGCTTTCTAGGATCTCTGTGAAGTAATGATGACCATGATATGGTAATATGAGCTCAATCACAGCATGCTGCTCCGGAAAACCTAGACAAGCGTAAATCAGTCGGCCACAAGCAGCGAAGAAGATCAGACACTTAATCCGGCTGACGGTTTCCACCTGAACGTCTGTCCTGAATAATCTTTTTAACTCAATTGTTTTTCTCCCTCACTTCTGTGCTTCTTTTCGACTTCTCCGTTTCCGTCATCCGGCTATGACAACATCTGGATGACAGCTGCCAAGATGAATGCATCAGTGATCAGGTTTTAAAATGCCAGAATAAATTGGTGCATGGAGGGAAAAAAAAGAAAAAAGAAAAAAAGGACGAGGTCTAAACTCAGTCAGTCAGTTTGATTTGCCTTATTGAAAAGTACAGTTCCTGCAGGGTAGCTTCTGACAGCAATGCAATAACAGCGAACCAAACCACATCCTAAGCTTGTCACTGGGCTCCTTTTTTTAATTTAATGTATTTGTAGAGGCAAAAGTGGCAGAGAGGGGTTATGGAAAGGTGGGGGGACAGAAGAGTGAAGGGATGAGGCCTCAGGCAGATTAAATCCTCTGTGAGTGAAGAGCAGTATATTATACCTGCTACTCCTCTCTTTCCCGCTTCTCTTATTCCTCTCTGCTCCTTCTCTCTCGTGGCAGAGAGTGTGAAATGCGATATTAGGTGGAATGATTTGAATGCAAGCAGTCTGCCGGATTTTCAATTTTTATTCCTTTTGCTCTCATCTCCATTGTGCTGCTTTAAATGGGAGCGTCCTAATATCTCCTGAACAACACACTCGTGTTATTCTCTAAAGGCAATACACCGGGTTGATATTTTCACCACATCCTCTGTAGTGTAGAACTGGGGATTATCACAGTCATCTTTCATTCTTTCCATTCAAAGCTTTCCCCTCAAATGTGTCTGAAGAAGAGCAAACAGAAGTGTGTTTACAGGGCTTTTGGCTTTATGCGCCTTTGCATTTGTTAGCGCGCCCTTTCCCTGTATGTGCAGAAGCAAAAGGAGACGGAAGACACCGCGCGTGCACCTCAAGGCAGACACGCGTGTTCCTGCTTTTCTGTATGCAGCGAGGAGAGAGGCAGAGTTTCACTATGTGTCTGCCTCAAAGGCTCAGAGAGCCAGAAAACTTCTGAGCGATCATGACGGCAGACGCACAGCAGTCCACAGCTTCAAAGATCCCCCTCAGATAAAATATCTCCCGTGGTGTTTTCACATGGAAAAGAGAATAAGGCGATGGAAACAGAGAACAGAAGAAGACAAAGGAGGAAACAGAAGCAGATCTTTTGTGGATGCAAGAGGCGTGGCAGTGGATTCTGATGCGTATGACCAAAAGTCAAGTTTGTAAGGTTGTAAATTCGTGTTTGCTCCTGTGCGCGTACATGTGTAAATGCTGCGCCTCACCTTGCCTCCTGCGACTGCTGATTTTCCTGAAGCAAGTGCCCTCACACAGCCTGTTGAGCCTCTGCTGCTTGATCAGTTCCATGATCTCCGGCTGGATCTTTTCTCTCAGCTCCCTGCCGAAAAACAAGCACACACCCTTGCTTTAAGAGAATTGTTTAAATCCCGTTAACCGCACCCGGTGTGGCGAGCCGGTGACAGCGAAGTCACAAGACCCTCCCAGTCAATAAGATTGTTGGAAATGAAACAGAGAGGGCCAAAACACACAGACATACACTTTCACAGCAAATATGTCACAGCATCTCGTGAGGTTGGATCAGCGGAAACCTGTGTTTCTGAAGCATCTGCTCGATTTCCTCTCGTTTATTCATGCAGCTTCATGTATGTGTGTTGTTTCCGTTGCATACGAATGCAGAGCACACAGCACCGGTCAACATGAATTATGTATATCATCTGCCTGAGCAGTGCCGCTCTCCATCATTATTACAGCCGAGTCCTTTCTCATCACATTTACTATGCATTTGTTTTCTACCGTCGAAATATTACTGACTGTGAGAATTTTATGTTTCGGCGTTCCTGATCGCATCGTCGTCTTCCTTCGGGCTCACTCGCTTATTCCTCCCTTCATCCGTCTCCCTGCTTGGCCCTCCCTAGGCATGTATTTGCCTCATTGGTGATTCCAGTCATTACACCGATCTGTGTTAGGACATTCGCTCTGACATCTTTAAAGAAACAGCTAGTGAGAAAGGCATGGCTGGGAAAGGATGGATGACGATAGCTCGTCTTTACCACTTCATGCGCCGCGCTCATGACTGAGGTCGACACGGGCGAGGCTGCTTTTGCCTGAGAGTTTCAGATTACTTTGTTGCTTCGTCTTTTCGGGAAGCAGCTCCTCAGTTTTAATTTGAATCCATTCACCGAAAATTGAACGTCTTGTACGAACAGACCTCCGCAAAAAAGGCACTGTGGTTGTTAACAAGTGTTTAAATGATGAAAGCAATGAGGCACGGGCCTCCTGGTAATGTACACTTGGCAACTTATTACAATTGAATTAAGGTGTAGATTTTGTACATCTCAAATTACATAAAATAATAAGCTCAGAACGTCTACAAAGACGGGCAGCTTTGAAGTGAAGTGAAAGTGTCGCTTCACCTTCTTTTCATTTAACTCATTCCCCCCAATAATTTGTAGTAGAGAAGTGCGAGCGGTCGCAGCGAGTAAAGCAGGGCTCGTTTAAATATCTGGTCTGACGTGCTCAGCTCATTGTGTTTACAATTCTTAATCGTGCTGCAAAGATTAGAGGAAAACTCCGACGGCAGTCTTTAGAAGAGGCTCTGCGATGCTCAGCTCTTCTCCACAGCTGTGATACAGTTTTAAAGTGTGCCGTTTCATTTTCACTTGGCTTTAAATCACTTCACATAGACTGGGTGCATCTCATCTTTTCCTCATTAATGAAGGACGCAGCAATGAATTGGTGTGTGCTAGATTAACCAGGAAAGTGATTCAAACCAATCTGTTAAATATGATTATATAACAACTTTTGTGCAACTTTCTTTATTTTGTGTTGCTTTTTTCACCGGGTTTAATTGCTTACTAAAGTTTGGTCTCTACCCCTCCAATATTGATTCAATAAGCCCTTGCCTAAGGCATTGTTTACTCTTCAAAGGGACAAGCTCTCTTGATGCAACGATTTTTCAATAGTGCTACCTACTCCATTAAATACAGGCAGGACAAAACAATGCTCTTCATTACCGGACCTGCATCATTGAATGAGTGATCTATTACGGGCTAGCTCTCCGAGCGCAGTGAGCAGGAGGGTCATTAATGGAGTATTCATTTGGAATACCTTTTGCAATCAATTTGAATTTTATGTATATTTTCAATTACAAGAGCAAAGCGCAGACGCAACCTGCTGTGGGCCAAGTTGGAGATCAGGAGAAAAGTACTACAGCTATTTGTAGACACATATTATGCTCTCATGCACTTCCATATACCAGCAGGAATATCACCTAGCTGTAGTTTTCATTGTTTTCAGAGTGGCTTTTCCTGCAAAGCTCTACAACATGAATGAATAAAACATTAGTAGCTACTATTCATATTAAATAAAGCATTTGGCTGCTGCTTTTGAGAGCTTTGGTGTAACACTTCAAACAATATAACCCTCTGTCAAATGCATGCTTTTGTAAGTTTAGAGTTTATGCAAAAAAACAAAACAAAACTCAAACAAAAAAAATGACTGCATGACTCACAGGATGGGGCGGGACTGGAAGTCTTCCTGATTCATCCTTTCTGACTGACGTATCTTCAGGATCTCTGTGTAGCTCAGGTTCTGCAGGCGGCTCTTGAACTGGTCCAGGGAATTAGGCTTGGCAGTGAGTGCTCGCATGATCTGCTCCCTCACCACCTGCATTACCTGCACAGCAGAGCAGAGAAGCAAAAGAGCGCAAGATGAGATTATAGAGGGTGCAGGAGACATAATGGGTGAAGACAGAGAGCGTGTACTACATCTAAAAAGACACAGGAAGTCAAAATCACCCCCCTGACTCTAACCCCACCCAAATTTTAGGCTCAGGGGAGCGTTTCACTCCAAAAGGATTTATGCCTTTTATTTTTTCCAGAACTTGAGCTTCTAATCCAGTCTGGTTCATTGGGCATCAAGTAGAAAAAGAGCAAAGGAGATCAGTTTAGCAGTGGGTAGTCGAATAAAAGTATCGTATATCAGGGAAATACATGACAGAACTTGTTCACAGTATTAAAATTCAGCTAAAACCAGTTTTTTGGAAATGGGTGCAGAAGCGTGATAGGAGTGCTCTTCAAAGTCATCAAAAGCATTTCTGGATTATTTATTTTAGAGCATCTGCACACTGTCTGAAGTGAGCAATGACAAAAGAGACAACAGAGCCAGATCAATAAATGACCTCTTTTAACTGCTCGTGCAATAAAAATGAAACGCAGTAATTGACGTGTTGGTGTGCAGCACACGCAAGAAAACTCAAAAAAACACACGCAAGGAAATTCTCTGACAAATGAAGAGCTTACACAAGTTTCTATCATGACATAACAAAAGTGCCAGAAACCATAAAGAATGGTTAAAATCACACAAAAGCTAGGACGAGTAATAAACCAGGTTTATGACAGTAACACGCTGGCTATGCATATAAAAGCTCTTCATCCTTCTCTAGTCACACTGAAGCATTTTAGAAAATGAGTCCTGTGCTCAAACACTCGATGACAGCTGCTTCCATTTAACTTTGTGCTCTGACAAGTGATGTGCAGTTTGCATAATTAGAACGTTAACACTGGTGTGATCCAAAGATCCTGAATTTTCTTGATCTGCGAACGCATTTTCCCAACACACGAAAAAGGAATCTGACTGAAAACGTCCTGAAAAGTTTCAAACAGAACTTTCAAAAAGAGAGCAGCTTTCATTCAAAAACACTTTTTACCGTTTCTCTCTGGCTAAGCACTGCTCCTCCACTAACTGGAGATGATGTGACGGCAGATACGATGACAGATCAACTTTGTCAGAAGCGCCGTTTGAGCCTGCAGATGCTGATTCGCTAGATTGAATCACACTGAGGTGATGCAAAGAAATAACGTCCGCCTTCTGTTCTCTTTGATTTGGCTTGATCGAGTGCTTAAGAGCACACTTGTTTCCAGCCTCTGGAGACGCTTTCTTACAAACTTTATTAAATTAGGAGATGATGAGAGTTTGAGATCATGTTTTGTGCTAACATGTGCACAGAACAAATGGATACTTCTACATTCGTGATCGGTGAAATCTTTCAGCTTCCCATTCTTAACAGCTATGCCAAAACCCAGCTAAGATCCCAAACATCGTCTTACGTAATATTATTCTTGTTTGTTTTTACTGCAAAGCGATTACTCATCAACTTGCTAACCTGTGGCCTCACACTACTCAGATCTAGGGGTGAGGGCATTAAAAATAGGTTGGACTTGGTGAAAGTGTAGCAGGCACAGAATAAACCCCAGCTCGGCACCAAAAAACAAAAACACTCCAGATGACGCAGGCGATTGAAGTTAATCCTCTTAGATCAGAATCAGCAGTACTCTGTGTTAAAAAGCATTAAGAGGAGGCCTTGTGGGGAAGTTGGAGCAGCTCAGCAATATTGCCAGAAAAAGAACTTAACCCATGTCTAATTCTAGATCTGATGGAGTCTCGTGGTAAAATGCTGGTATTAAGCTTTCACCACAAAAAAGTATTTTTGTAACCGATTACAAACTTTAATCTGGGGATTAACTTTTGGAATAAAATATGTTTGGAGGCGGTAATGACTGACTTCCAAACTAATGGGCAACAAATTAATCCTGGGAACTAAACACATGCAAAAAGGTGACAAGCACGGAGACAAGGAGTGTCAGGAGGTCAGAGAGGGAGTTACACAGAGCCGCAAGCACACTGGCAATGTTACAGCTGGCCTCTGAAATTAGTACATTTAAGCGACCAGATATGACAGGCCATTAGATTCCTCTGAAGAATCACTTACAGAGCTGAGACTTTGACCATATGCAGTGTGATTCATTTACAAAGCCCAGACACAGACTCGCATTAGTGGATTTGTGGTTTTTCTCTAATATAATCCAAATCTAAGTGGCACTATAACTAATGCAAAACATCAACGACTGTACAAAAGTGCATCCTTCAAATCCCCCCTAACGGAGCGCATAAAAGCCAAAATCAGGATCTTTGGTTGGTCACAAAGAAGCTCCATACTGGATGAAGATAAAGCCCATTTATGCAACATATTGACCTCATTATTTCATTTTCATAACAATCCCGACAGCTGTGCACGAGGGCTCTTTGAAACCAACATGCTCACTGAGTAAAAATGTTATGATTTAGTATATTTAAAAAGAACTGCATGGACAATGTGGCTTCTTCTAGTGATGAGATATGAATCTCTTTACTAACTGATGTGCAGTACTGCAACATGAACAGGCTAAAAAACGTAAACGCCCCCCCCCCCAAAAGTGTGTCCACTAGAGGGCGAGTGTTGACGTTTTCCCTCTGCACCAGTCGGGACTAAATTGACATAAATCCATGCACATCCATATTCCCACTGTTGGATGACTTCTCCATCTGTTTTTCCATGTCCTGTCCTCACCTGTGCATCCTCATAACATGAATGCCATATTTTCACGAGGTGAAACAGGCGTCCAGGTTGTGACAGGTTTACAGCACCCCGAGACTGCCTTTTGAGCTTCAGCCCCTCACCCCAGCCTCCTCCTCATCCTCCTCTTTGAGCTGAAAATTGCAAATGGATGAAGCCACAACTTGCAATCACGCTACCAGAGATTCATCACTTCTTTCCCCTACTTTTACTCACACCCTCACCGACTTCCCCATCATTTTTTGCACACACACGCCTATAAAAGTGATAATTAAGCCTAAAATGAATTTATTTCCCCATTAGGATTACAAATGAGGTGTCAGGTTGCCATTAAGGAACATTATGTCACTAAGAATCTTTTTAAAAATAAAGAAAATAATAAAACCGTGACAAAAACAGTTGCAGTTGGAATCTGGAGTACACTGAAGACCACCCCTGAAATGACGTTTTCTAATCTTCTTGTCACCTGTAGCCTGCTTTCTCACCTAATCTCAATCTCCAGGGACAGACCGCCATCCAGCTCTGGTGTTTCAGCCCAGCTGTCTCTGGGGATTGTTCATTAATATGCCTTGTTTGCAGTCATGTCTTCACCGGGAAAACAATTCTGTTGGCCCATGTGGCTGCTCTGATGCTAATTAACACTGCGAATATTCATCACATTTAATACGAACACATGGTCCTTTCACAACAGGGCATTATGAATATTTTATCTTCATCCTTCTCTGTTATCCACCGATTGCTCAGAGAGCACCTTGGCAGAGGTGAGATGACGTCAACGCTGAAACAAACTTTTTACCGCCTGAGCTGAGAAATCCTCAGCACCAAATTTAGGCTCCGCTTTTGGAATGGCGTCATCTTAAAGTACACTTTAGATGATTTAAGTGGCCAATCGTTCATCCCGGTCGTCGCCTCTATCTTTATTTCTGCCTCTCTCCATTTTCCCCCTCATGCACTAATCTATTCTAGACAACAGTCAGTGATTCTTACTTGTAGCTCTTTGCAAGAGAGAAGTTGGACAGCAGAGCAAGAGTTGGCAAAAGCAATTAAATGCTATCCCATGAGCCATCAAGTCCATGTAATGAAGAGCCGGCCACTGACGCGTCTACCACGCTCCCATCTCCTCGTCCTTCTCCTTTCTTCTAGTCGGCTTCTCCATCATCGGCCGGAACAAATTACCTTCCCCCTCTCAACGACCAATCGACTGTCACCGCCGTTCCATTTGCCTGAGAGATGCTAATGACATCATTTACCAGCTGCCAGTCAACTGCTCACCCGCCACTCACGCCTGTGTGGTAAAAACTGGAGATTGTCCTGGTAAGACTTTGGTGGGCAAAGTAACAACGCAGTAATCACAGAATAACGACTTCGCTGATAACTCAGTGAAAGCAATCAAAAAGTCGATCTCACACGTTGCCAATGAGGCCGTAAATGAAGAAGACTAACCATGCACGCTTGCTCGCATACAAAAGGAATGTACGCCAGCACGTGTTTGTGCAATAATTATCTGCGCATACAAGTTCATTCCCGTCAGATTTGGGGTTTTTAAGTGACTAGCAGAAAAAAAATTAATAAAGGGGATCATTCATTACATTTCTCCTCCCTGCAACGATGTCCCACATTCAGTAAACAATTATCTTCTTGAGAGCTGACCATGATGTCATTGAAAGTAAAACAATGCCACAGAGATGGACATTAAAAGATGCCCGTTTCTTATCACGCTGCCTGGAGAGGGGAGGTGGGTACGGTTTGTATTAAATTTAAAAGCTGATAAAAAGGCAGAGTTTAAAAATAAAGAAAAAATATAAATCTTTATGTGGTTGAAGATTTATAGGTAGGATACGACTTACATCAAAGCTGTAAAACATCCTGGGAAAAAACATCAGTATCGATGATGCAAGCTGCCTAGTTTATTAAATCCATATTAAGACGAGCTTCCTTTGTGAATACAGACATTGTTTCACTCTGGTTTCTGTTTCCGAAATCATAGTGACAGTAATCTTTGCCAACAATGCCAAATGTGCGGTTTCTTGCTCTAACTCAGCCCTGCAGCCTGTGTGAGAAGACGTTTGGGGAGGCACGACAAAACACAGATCTCCGTCTGACAGGAGTCAGACAGCACAAACACACTGGCATAGTGTTGTGCTTTAACTGCTTCGCACTGGTCTGGAGCACTGAAAGCTTGAGCTGAAACAACGACTGCGTGCTAGCTGCTGTCAGTGGCATACATGTGCTGGTTACAGAGGGGACAACTGAAAGGAACTTGAGAGGATATATCTTTAAA